TGCCTCGGGGGCTTCTGCAGAGAGCTGAGGTCGGGTGGTGCGGCGGCGGGTGCCCTGTCTGCGTGCGTGTGACCGCCGGCTCCACACACGGGCTGCTGTCGCCCCAGCCGACGTGGGAGCTGGCACCCTGTCCACTGTGGCATCCCAGGAAGGGAAGGGGCGCCCTGATCCTCCACTTGTGGGCGTCCCCTTTGCTCGCATTAAGCTGGAAGAGGCGAGCTCCCGACGGTGGTGAGACTCCTGCACCTCCTCATTTTCTGCTGACCTAGCCCCTTTGCCTTCAAGGTGAGAACAGCCAGGAGTTCAGCCCCACCTTTTCAGGACGAATCTTCATCGCAGGCTCGAAGCAGTACAGGTGAGTGTATTGGGTGGGAAGGAGGGATACGCACCTGGCAGCCACTCACACCTCGCAGCGTGACGGGTTACTATCATTCTTCCCTAGTTCTTGTTACAGCCTGGTTTCCAGCCACAGGCAGAGCCTCTCACTGGTGTGCAGCTACCAGTGCAGGCTCAGAAAGCCACTTCCGGTCCTCTGCAGGAGGCACACAAGTGGGCAGCAGGGCCAGGCCTGGCCTGCACATCTCTCACCCCAGAAATGACTTTTGGCAACTGAGCTGAACCCAGAAACAGTCTCCCCTCTACCACCAGGCCAACTCTTGCAAGCAGGAGCCAGACATAGTGCTAGAACCTATTATCCCAGAACTCTGGGAAACTGAGGCAGGAGGGTCTTAAGTGGGAGCCTAGCTTGGGTAACTCAGTGACTTAGTGAGACTCTGTCTCAAAAATTAAAAAGCCTGGGGCTGTAGCTCAGTGCAAAGGCCCTGGGTTCAATTCCTAGTACCACAAAGAGGGGTAGAGCTGGGGAGGCTTCTGCTGTAGAAACAGGAAAGGCTTAGTACTTGGTCGAATTCTTTGTCACCTCTGGCACCTCTTGGGCCAGGGAAGGGTTTCTGATGAGCCCACCCTTCTGAGCTGAGCTGAGCTGCTGAGAAGCCTGCAGGCTGCCGTGGTCCCGGGTCCAGGGTGGGGTTGGTCCCCACAGCTGGCTGTCCTGGGGCCAGTCCCCTCAGTCTCTGGCAGGATGCAGAAAGCAGAGCCATGGTGGGGACAGCCTCTAGGCCACCAGTGAAAGGCAGGCACCCTGGTACGGACAAGGCATCTGTGCTGGCAGCTCCCACATTCCACCAGCAGCTGGGGGTTCCAGGATCCCATGAGGCAGAGGACACAAACAAACCACTGTTGTCCACGAAACCTGAGCGTACCTATCCAGGGAAGTCCCAGAAGCAGCTGCCCCAGAAAGACTGAGCCCCGGCCCCCACCCTCAGAGCAGGCACAGAGCTGGTCATCTCCACCGTGCCTGGCAGAGATACTGTGTTCATTTTGTGAATGGAAAAGCTGGTGTCCTGGAGTGTCCTCGCAGGCTCCCGTGAGTGCAGTCACGTGCCACACGGTGACTTCTGGTCAGCAGTACACCATGGTGGTCCCATGCGAGGCCTCGCCTATCAACACTGTGCTGTCCCACTCAAACGCGAGTGTCCATGACAGTCACACAGCAAGCAGGACCCTAGCACGCCCTTCTCAGGATGAGCGCCTGTTGTCAAGCAGTGCGTGATCACAGGAATGGCTGGGCTGATGCTCGCATGGTCCTCCCGTCAGACGCAGTTAACCAAGTCTCTCCATCCTCCTGCCTCCTTGGCTCACAGCATAAACCGCCCCCACCCCATCCCAGGTACTGGGCAAACTCAGGACAACACCACTGAGGTATATCCCTGGTCCCTGTCCCTCTTTTGACAGCCAGTCAGAGAGTCTCGATCAAATCCCCAACAATGTGGCTCATGCAACTGAGGGCAAAACGGCCCCCGTGTGTTGGAAGGGAAAGCGTCGCAGCAAAGCCCGAAAGAAACGGAGAAAGAAGAGCTCGAAGTCCCTGGCACAGGCCAGAGTGGCCCTGGCCAAGCCCCTGCCCAGGACCCCTGAGCAGGAGAGCTGTGCAGTCCCGGTGCAGGTGAGATCCACCACCCGGGGCGGGCCTCGGCTCATGGGCCTGGGTCCTGACACCATGTTTTCCCCACAGGAGGATGAGTCTCCACTAGGCACCCTGTACATCAAGCATGCCCCCCAGTTCACCAAGCCTCTGAAGGAACCAGGTTCTGGCCACCTCTGCTCCAAGAAACTCGATGAGGGCCTGCAGCCAGTGCTGCCACGACCGGAACTCCACAAACTGATCAGCCCCTTGCAATGTCTAAACCATGTGTGGAAACTGCACCATCCCCAGGACGCGGGCCCCCTGCCCCATCCTACCCACCCCTTCCCCTACAACAGACTGCCCCATCCCTTCCCCTTCCACCCTCTCCAGCCCCGGAAGCTGCACCCCCTGGACTCCTTCCTGGGCAAACTGGCCTGTGCAGAAGGCCAGCAGCCCCTGCCTACCCCAGCCCTGGGAAAACCAGTCTGTGTGGATACTCAGAAGCTGCTGCCTGGCCCGCCCCGTGAGCCCAGCTGCCCGTCTCGTACCTGGGAGAAGTGTTCTGTGGAGGAATACCTGGCACACGCTCTGCGCGGCAGCGTGAGCTCAGGCCAGGCTCCTAGCCTAGCCACCCTGGCCAAGACCTGGTCTGCAGGGGGCCCCAGGCCTCAGGGGCCTAGCCCCGAAACCGAAGACAACGAGGGGGTGCTGCTTACTGAGGTAACTAATCTCCCAGGCTCCTGCCCTTGTACCTTCACCACCAGCACCTAGGCCAGGAGCCACAGCTGACCAAGTAGCATCCCTCCAAGCCAGCAGACCTTAGGGTGGCTCTCTTCCTGTTGGCCGAGCCTGTGGCGACAAGTCAGATGGCCGCCAAGGGTTCATCAGGACTGTTAGCTTTCATTGCCAGGGCGAGATGCCCGAAGGAATCAGCATGCAAGGAAGGAAGGTTTTCCATGGCTCCCAGTTTCAGAGGTCTCAGCCCCTGGTCTTGGCCCTGTTGCCTTTGGCCTGTGGTGGCACTGCACAGCATGATGGGAGCACCTGATGGAAGAGGCTGCTCACCTCACAGTGAGAGAAACTGAAGAGGGCCCGGTGCCCTTTCTCCTCCAGGCCTCACCCCCGAGTCCCAGTTTCCACCTGGCCCATCTCGGAAGGGTCCACCATGCCCAGCAGCTCCACAGGCTGGCAGCCAGGCCCTCGGCACACAGCCCTGGGTACATCCAGGATCCAGCCACAGCAGGGCTGGCACCGTTGTTACTACCTACAGCCTCACTGCACAGACTTTCTAGCTGGTCCCACTTTTAATTCTTCCAATCAGTCACCCTGTTGTGGCTGAATTGTGTTTGTGAGAGTAACATGCATTCTGTGAAATGGAGGAAGCCTCTCAGGCTGAGGGAGGACAAGGGTTTTGCCATCTTTGCTGCCTGCTTCCTTCCCTTCGCTGGTTCTTGTCCTGGAAACCTTGGCACTTGAAACAGCTTTACTTAGCTTTACTTCCTGGGAGTTTGTGATTTTGTTTTGTTTGTTACTGAGGATCGAACTCGGGACCTTGTGCCTGTGAAGCAGGCAGCAGAACCACTGAGCTAAATCCCCAGCCCCTTCCTAGGTTTTTTGTTTTGTTTTGTTTTGGGTTTTTTGGTTTTTGGGTTTTTGGGTTTTTTTGAGACAGGCTGTCACTATGGGAGAAAAAAAAACTCACTATGTATCCCAGACTGGCCTCAAACTCAATGGCAATCCTCCTGTCTCAGCCTCCCAGCTGGGATGACAGGCGTGCACCATGCCTGGGTCTGTTCTCTTCTGATGTTATCTTGTCTCCAACCTTTGTGTTGCTCCTATCTTCTGTCTTCTGGTAGCTCCCGAGGTATTACCCATCATCGAGGTTGTTGGGAATCCCATTACTGTCCCGGTCACAAACCCAGGGTCCTTTTTTGTCACCAGAGTCCTCCGGCTAGCCCTACCTCACCCTCCCCTACCCTCCCCTCCCACTCCTCAGAGCCCTACCTCAGACCAGTCCCAACAGGGCCACCAGCTACAGACCTGGCCTTCGCCATAACCCTCAGCCCCATGCTGCCCTGGCCACTGACACCATCTCTTCCCCTC